TCTTTCTCTTTCCCTCATATATGCACACACAAGCGCACACTGCATTATCCGTATCTCTGTCGTGAGGGCCTGGGCCATAGCTAATATGCCTCCCCACAGTCTCCCTCTAAAAACAAAGATGTTAAGAGGATAGGAGCCTAACAAAGACCAGCGGGTGCAGAGTGGAGACACCAGGCTCTCTGCACAACAAACAGAAATGCAAACCAATGATGACAACAAAGAACAGAGACCAACGGAGCCCCAACAAAGACAAATTGATCCGCGACTGCGTGCAAAAACTCTCGAAGATGGGGGAGCGTACTCTTGTCTTTGTCCAGAGCCCTTCAGAGTGAATGGGCATGCACGCCTTGGTTGTCTCCTGATGGGGTCGACAGTGTGCATAAGACTTATTCTTACCCTTTCTAAATTATACATGTAGCTGCTCTTGTTAGAGAGTATTGATCCACTTTCACACTCCTTGGAGATCAGTGCAGAGAAAAGAAGAAATGTTTATATTTGCTTCTGCGCATGCAGGTTTCCGCTTACTGTCAGATACCTGTCACTCAGCAGGGCCAGAGAGGGAATTCATTGTAAGTGGAAGGCAATCATAATCACTCTTTTAGGTGTAATGACTCTGGTAAAGGTGCAAACGAAAGGTGATGTCTGAGGCAGGTTTATGAGAAAGCTAAATCTAAGGATTATGAATGCCATTCTGGCATTTCACTTGATGCCTTTCTTAAAAGCCATCATTTCCCAGACGGGATATGAGCGACTGAGCATGTCGAGTGCCATTTTGGACCCACTGACCTTTCAGTTCGCGTTTTTGACTGGCAGGGGTGTGATCCCTTGATATGAACTAAGTGTGGCCCATGCGCTCCAGTATTTGTAACGGACAATAGGAGTTTCATGGACACCTGTGTGCTGCGGACCAATCTGTGATAAGCTTGAAGCAGCCGACCGACCTTCCCTCCCCTCTCCTGAGGCTGCTTCCAATTGTACCACATGTCACTGAAATGTCAGCCTCAACTCGGAGCACACCCAACAGCTCATAAAAGTTTTTGACCCAAAGCCAAAGACCGTATTTTGAAAAAGTGGAATAAAGATGTGGTCGAATCTACCAGCTGTAACCAGGAAATAATTGCGTAATAGTTCAAAACTAACTCATCCCTTTGCTTTGATATAAGGAGCACAATAACAAAAAGTTAACTTTGAGGTTCACCAAATTGTCATCAACTGGCTACATTTTCAAAGAACAGAATGTGGAGAACCTGATGAGTTGGTGACGGTCAAAGGTGTTCTATAACATACTTGACTCTCCGTATTTTCCAATACCCAACTTTTGAAACGATGACAACATACAGGTGTGACCTAACTCTGGTGCACGTCATGAGTGTTTCTTTGTGTTAGGTGTTTTTTTTCTAAGGCGTGGCCTACAGACACCTACACTCTACTCAGCTCAGTCAGGCCTAATAGAAGCATTCAATAAGAATAACATTTGGTTCAGTAGCCCTCCTGAAGAGTGAAAGTATTCTTGCCGCCATTTTGATCTTGTTGCATGGCTAAAGCATAAATGGTTATGAAGGATGAGGCAAGGTCTCTTATCACTCTATATGAAGACAGCGATCATGCTCTTTCTATTTTTTTTTTTAATTGCCGTCTTGCTTTTTTCCCTGTCATTCTTCTTATCCCACACAGCCTTGTAATCTCTCTTGCACTCTCTCTCGTCTTTCCCTCTCCAGCTCTATCTGTCTTTGCTTTGGGGACTATGCATCTCTGTTGAAAATGCAGCAGACATGATGAAGATGTAGACAGTAACCTCTCTGGATAAGCGGGGAGATAAATAGAGGGGGGGGGTGTCTGTAGGTGTGATGTTGAAATATCAGATAGATAAAACCATCACAATAAGTAGTGTTGTGTGGCTGTCCCCGAGGACAGAAGAGGAACACAACACCGGGCCTTATCAATCCGTCAAGTCTGTTTCCTCCTCTCCTGTGAACATTTAACATGTTTGTTGAGGGATTTGGCTGTGAGAGAGCAAGGAAGGGATGAGGAGTTTGGAGTTTCGTGGACTTACTCTTGGTTCCTTAGTTCATTTTATCAAAGTAATGGCTGAGACCTGGAGATATAAATAACGTAACATTGCTACAACCACGTCCAACAGGGTAAGAAACACGAGGGAGTATACGAGCAGAAGATTAGCCAGATTAACTGAACCACTTTATTCAAAGGGGGAAATTAAAAATGAAATCCTATCTCTATAATATGTGGTGCAGGATACCTACACAACTAGTACACTAAGTCTGAAAATGATGAAGGATTTTTACAGTGGACGATTTGCACAATAATTTCACCTTTCTCCTTTCCAAATAATATTGTTGCCGTTTTAAGATCTGTATGATCATATCGTGTTTCTTGCCCATTCGGACTTCTTTTCAGCAATGTTGCTGTGTTCACAGATCTCAGCAAGTAACTTGGTGAGTTACACATTATTATTACTCATGGCAATGATGGTCAAAAGTGCGTGAATGGGCCCGAAGTTGTAGTCAAGCGGAATAATCCTTTATTGTGGTTAACGGTGAAACAGAGCAGTGCTGCAATTCCCAAGACAAGGCATACATCAGTATCTTTCACTGCTTTCACTTGACAAACATTTGTCTGTTTTATTCCAGTTAATCCCTTGCTGTTTAACATGTTTTTATTATTTTGCTCCACCAAGACTCCTCCAGTATTTTTTCATATTCAAGGCAGAAATGCTACTTCAGTGTTTTTTTCTTTCTCGTGTAATGTAGCATTGAAATACACACAAACAGCTACCACTCTTAAAACTAATCTTACTCTAGTGGGACTGATAATTACCCAGGATTTAAGTACACACACACACATACTCTGTCCATCTCAAACATGCACTCACACTCACAAACATGCTGTTGAGCCCCATCTTGGCAGTGCCGCTCTCTGCGGCTCTCCATATGATCTCTCTGCCAGTATGATTCCGTCTCTCCTCCCTCACATCTCCATCCATCCATGCTGTCGTTCTCTCATCTCCCCTCGACCCTCTTCCTCACTCCCCACTCTTCAGTTGTTTGTTTTGGCAGAGCTTGAACTGAATCACACAGGAGACTTAAACTGGCACAATGCAAAGCTCCCATTCCACCTGATGCCCTGCTGTTACTCCTACACGACTTCTCATCTCCTCTCCTCTCTCTTCTTCTATTACTCATTCTGAAAAATAGGTTTTGAAAAGGATCAAGTTGCAATGTTTATATGGAAGCAATCTTATTCTACATGCTCCCCACCTGTCTAAAAAGCTTAGAAGATTGAAGACTTGAATCAGGTGTGTTGTGACATGGCAAGGTTGGTGAGAGGTCAAGTAGAAAGTGAGTGAATGAGACTTCTGGGGCTCTCGCTCACTGTTGCACACTTTACTGTTGACACACAAGACGGAGCAACTGTTTTCTTTTTAATGTGACTTGTGTGTGACCGCACTGATGTACCCACATTTAAAAACGTGATTCTTAGTGCAAGAAAGTCTGTTATTTATTTTTTAATTTTATGTATTAATTAATGCAAATTTAGTGTGTATGGAGTTTGTGCCAGCAGGAGTCGCACACAGGGGCTTTAAGTTGAATCTTTTGATGCTCGATGCTGATCATAGGGTATTGCTTTGCTCTTATAAAAATATAAAAACCTTACTGCACCAACTTGCCATTTACTTTGAAAAGTAGACTCAGATCAGCTTCAAGGACGATGACATGACACTCACTAATTGGGTTGGGGGGCGAGATGCATGGCGTTTCAGATGGCTGGGGCTTAGCTTAGTTGGCTGTGGTTGGGGACCTTGCTGACCTATCTGTGAAGGTCCTAATTTCTAACTTGGTTCTCACTTGTATAGAAGTGCACACAAACACATACACATTGTGTCCACACAACGGGAGATGATTGTGAAGTCTCTTGAGCAGGCAGTGTTAATCCTATTGACAATGGCTTGTCTGAACAGTGGCCTGAAGAGAGATGAAGCTAATTCTTTTTATGAGGACAATAAACCCACAGGTCACCAAGGCCAACACACACACACACACACACACACACACACACACACACACACAGAATATATATAAACACACACAGACACATCCGTAGCTTCCTCCGGGAGTTTAGACCCAGTTCAGAAAATAAAAGTGTGCAATAAAAGAGCACAGTACATCACATCTCTCAATGCAATTGTGCTGCATCAAAAGTCAATCACCTCCTATAAAAAATATGGCTCAGGAGATTTCATTGTCTCTGAAAGCATTTGACAAAGCGATATTGACAATGTAGCTTATTTTCCTGGAATAAACAGGGAAATGTAATATTGTTTCACTCTTTCTTGCACATATTGTGATGTATTTTCAGACACCAAAATATTGACACCTATCTCTCTGCCTGGTTACTCTCCCATGCCAGAATTCGTTATCCAAGGTGAAGAAAACAATATTACATTTCTTATTGAAAAGCGGCGATCCTTCACCTTTTATCCACTCATTAAAACACACACGCTCGCAGGCACACGTGCACACAAAGACGTGTTTGTTTGTCAACAGATGTGTTTCGAAGTGCCTACGTTCTCACAGGCATTTATATAAGCACAGATGCACACGTGATAATTCAAAAGATAAATGTAAGTAATGCTCTCAATCTGTGTTTTAGTAGATCTCTGAAACCACAGGTGTGATCTATGACTAAGTGGGCCTGCCTGTCTCAAAGGCATTTACCATCCAGCTGTGTAAAACATGTTGAGCAAATGAATTGCATTCACCATGCAGCTGCTTGCTGTCAATATAAATCACATTAATGTGACAAAAGCCTCAAACAGTGAATGATTTGACAATCAATCACTTGCAACAGGAAGGAGTTTGGACAGTTGGTAGCACAACTTAATTGCCTTCACAAAAGTTTGTGTTTTGCTCTTTTCTGCCAGCCAGAAACCAGTAGGGACATGACTTACACGTTGTTTTTTTGTGTCTGTGTTTGTTCCGCAGATGGGACCCCCTACACATGGTGGGTGGGTCGGGGCAGCGAGAAGCACTTCTACTGGGGGGGCTCAGGCCCTGGCATCCAGAAGTGTGCCTGTGGCATCGACAGGAACTGCACTGACCCCAAGTATGACTGCAACTGTGACGCCGACCACAAACAATGGTAAGTCGGACTGTCACGTGAAAGTTCAGCGGGAGCACAAACAATTAATATTGTATTGATTCATTTCCCCCCCAGTTTCAGTTTTCCATTGACTTTAATTAAAGTCTGCAGAAACAGCTGCCAGTGAAAAGTTTTTGGTCACACCCAGTCCAACCCTGTACTTTGTTACAGATGCAACACGTTTTTTTCCTACAGTAGATAATGTTATGTTAGAGTGGAATAACAGTGTGATTTCCGTGACATGGATCATTAACTGGTGGGAAAGCAGACTTTTTGCCTGGGAAATCTTGCTTCAGCCTTGTTCTTTTCGCACAATGCCATATAGGTAGCCATCAAGTGCATATTTATCAAGTCAGCCTGAGACTGGGAGTTGTCAACCAGCTCAGGGGGTTAATGTTAATTAGCTTGCTAGCTAGAGCTGATTAAATCTGCAAAGAAAAGTTGTCACTGCAGCTAAATCTACGGCCATCGACTGGAAAGAAGAAGCAGCTTTTGTCTACTTCTGTCAATCAAGCACCAGAAAAGTACTGATTTATTATTACCGTTATTGTAAACTTTACAGAATCCAAACAGGATGGGGCTTAGTGAACGGTCAATTTACAGTCAGTAAGGGGTGTAGGGGTGATGAATCCCCGCATAACCCCTAGACTACAGTTAATATAGCAACTCTGATTATATTGCTACATCAACTGAACTTGAAGAGTGAAATCTGCCGTACCCATGGACATTTTGATGGGACAAATTGACCGTGCTGAAGTTAAAATTATCACTACTGCTAATGTTAATGTTGGATTAATCTGTCAGCTGGACAGTCTGATGAGGTGTCTAACTTCAAACTGACTGAATGATGAATGCCACCATCAGTGATGCATTTATTCCAGAGGGACGTTTGCCTCCAGAACAAACACTTTGTGTTTCAAAGCTCCTTCAGCCATTGCATTGCTTTCTGCGGGTGTGTGCATGTGTGTACCTACTGTATGTTTGTCTGTGAGTAATTGAGTGGTAGCAAGAAGAAGAGATTTAATTTACTTTCATGTCTCCATCCTCATCTCTAAAACTGATGAGATTACAAATGAAACTGTTCTCTCCATTAATAATGTATGCATTAATATCTTATTGTTTGGCTGAGTGAGTTTATGAAATATTACCCATACAACTCTATTTCCACTCATTACCCACATTTTGGCAGCACATAGAAAGAAACACACACACACACACACGTGTGTGAATGCACACGCCGACACACATGCACATACATACACACACATGCATACACAAAGCCATAAATTAGATGTTGCTGTTTTATTTCCAAACAACAATAAATAGGAAACAGTTCAAATCAAATAGTAATGTGACGAATTTAGAACATTTGAAACTCATTCCAGCTTTAAAGGCTGTGATTTCAATATTGCGTGTATGTTTGTAGTATTGTTTTTGTATTATCAGTAGACTAATGATAGCAAGCATATTCTGCCATATATACTGTATACGCGTATATTAGGTTGTATGAACAATTGCGCTGCTTTATTTAAGATAATATCATCTGCGATACCTTCTTCACTGTCGGAACACTATTCCTCTGCTTCCCATGTAAGGTTATATTTTTCATCTGCGACATTAGCCTTCACTTGGAACAGGTATACATAGTGTAGCCATATAATCACAAATGTGCAAAATACAAGGTTTCTAAACGGCAAAAAAAAAATCATAATTTGAAAATTGAAAAAAGAGACTAAACAGTGTTTAACCTGTTTTTTCTTCGTCCCGCTCTCTGCATGTTTCTTTCAACTCGTCTGACAGGAGAGACGATTCTGGCCTCTTGATATACAAAGAACACCTGCCAGTCAGCCAGGTTGCTGTGGGTGACACCAACAGACCAGGCTCTGAAGCCAAGCTGACTGTTGGACCACTCCGTTGCCAAGGAGATAGTAAGTGTTTTTATCATTTATACATACTGTATGCGTTGTGGAGTTGTAGTTGATGATGCAACACTCGGCAGCAATCTTTAGCATTTTGACTGATGGGCAGCTTGGCAGATATGTAACAGTTTTAGAATCCAGAATGATGATTGATTTAGATCAACAAGCTTATTTCAATCAGGAGAGACAAGATAATTGTTTATATTTAACTGATGATATGTGATGATAAAGTCTTGAGTCTTTGGCGCTTGGACTCTACAGGGAGATTTGTAATCTAGGGGCGTCTGCACTGAGCAGCAGCGAGATAAATCCCCCCCCCCCGTCCAGACACTGGTGGTGGTGGTGTCTGATGAGACTGTTAGAATGACGAGTTGATGAAGCTGATGGAAGATTGGGCGTGGATGGGGAGGTGGAGGGGTGTGTAACAGCAGCATGAAAAGGTAAAGAGACGATCATATTTAAAAAGACATTGCAGCAAGATGATAGGCTAACGATGAAATTGTTTCGATGTGCTATTGGACAGAGGACACCAGCTGGTTTAAACACCTGATATCATGATTGACAGCCCTGAACAATGAGTGAACATGCGTGAGGAGTGAATGGCAGATGTATGAGACATAAACTACAAGCCTACGCATACAAGAGTATAGTCTTCCTTACTGAAGTTACGCTAGAGCTTCATTTGTGAAGATTAATATTGAGATGAAAGAACAGGAACCTATGAGCTACAATGTGCTGTAAATGTTAATGAATGATTGACTCAGGGACCTGCAAAACAAGACGCACACGAGGCCGGAGGGTGCCACGGTGTGCTCTGATTCAAAGACTGAAAAGGAAAGGAATGTAGCCAAGGGCTAAATCACACTGTGCTGTAGAAGTATCAGTAAGATCAGAGCACCTGCACAGATAAAATGTAGACTTGTGTGAATATTCTGGACTAGCTGCAGGTGTAAAAGGGAGCTTTATAATAAGGCAGGAGAGCTGCAGCTGCAATGGCCTATTTGAGAGGAAATATGTGCCTTGATGACAGCTGCTGAGAGGATCGGTTTCAGTTTCAAAATAATTCTCAGCAGGTTGTAGTCTAGGGGCATGACTGCATCACCTTTGTGAGCGGCTCATCAAAGGTCGAATCTTTAATACAGCGTGTATTAAAGTCCCCCTGTTGGCAAAGTGTTTAGCTTTTTAGCAGTCGGGGGGAGCACATGGCCTTTATTTAATTTGTAGAAAAGTCCCGGACAAATAGGTAATTTCACTTGAGCAGACTTTTGAAATTGTTGGGGTTATAACGTGATGATTTTACTCCGTGGAAGAATTTTTAGAGGAAATTAGATGGTGCTTACAACAAAGGTCACTGGGCTGTACAGTGATGCAGAGGATAAAGGTTATCTTACCTATTAAGATACGGATGGCTCTATGATGTCTGTTGAACCATATTAGTGTTGCATCTGAAATGCCAACACATTGCTGAAGCAGGTCAAGCAGTACTGCATGGACAATGGAACATAAAGACCTAAAAAAGATAAGATCATATTCTCCAACAGTATATCTTTTGTCCAAAGAAGATCATTTGTGATCCTCAGGAGAACTGGCTCGTATGCAGGGAAGCAGCCTGAAACCAGACTGGTGGTAAACAGTTCAATAATTCTGATCCTTCAAGACTGGTTGTCTGAGTGAAGTTTTGTGTAATGCAATGCGACAGTTAGTATTTATTGAGGCCCGTTGGCTGACTCTACTGGCGTGTTAGTGTCTTGTCTCGTCTTAAAGCGCATTTAAAAATACGCTTTAAGTTGGAATAGCTCATCAAAGCTTTCAAAGCTGAACATATTGAGCTTTGAATTATTATTTCATGTTTATGTACATTGTTTGTTTACGTGAATGTTTGGTTAGTTCAAGATACTGCATGGTTTAGCTCCCCACCCCTTAGACAAGCTCATGGTGAAATAAGGCATCAACGAGGGGAGACAGTAAATATAAGACAACGCTCGGAAAAATGTGCCGAAATTGCTTTTTTAAATCAGTACCAGTAGCAGTAAAGTTGTCACTCTTCTGGCGATTCTTTCCTACGGTGTGACAAGTGTGTGTGGAGGAAGAATTAAGTTGTTAAGTTTTACTCATTTACTCTGGCTGTCTGAGCTCCGTATCGTTACTACTCCACGGCTTGTTTTAGTCGTTACTTCAAAACCTCACCTCAGTGATTCCTCGACTAGCCATAAGTCAGTCATATGGACGTTAGCACACTACAATGGTCGCAATGGCAACAGTACACATTAAAATGGCTGCCTCTCTGATAATCCTGTTACGTTGGTTTGAATGGGAAGGTCCGTTCTACTCCTATTCTATTTCTGTGAGCCTAAATCTGTGGCAGAGATATTCCTTTAATTTGTGAAGATGTTTTTATCGTCCTATGAGCTCTCGTTACACTAGTTTCTGGTCTCCCGAGCACTCCAGGAAAGCCAGAGGAGTATGCCATGACACTAACTCCTCTTCACCACTTGTTATATTAATGGATCATAATGACTACCAAACACGAAGGCGTTTTAACAAGGGACCCCGATCTTCATTCTTCACAACACACACTCTTCCTCTCTTTCCCCTCTCAGAATCAGAACTGTTTATTGCCAAGTACATTACACATACAAGGAATTGCTCAACACTACTCCACTCCTTAACCATCAGCCCTTCATAGCGCAGAACGCTGCAGCCAGCCCACAACGTCTACATGCAAGTGCAGTACAATATAATCTGAACACAGCACGGTATTTTAGCTGACTTGATGTCTTTGCTCAGCTTGTACCTGCTTTCGCGTAGCGGTCCTTATCCCCTGCTTGAAAAACAGTGGCCCTTTCTTTCAATCTCTGATCCAAGGTTTCTGGTTCGGATAGGATGTGCATGGGTGGGAATACAAGTGTCCACACAGAATTTAACAGTCCCAGTGCCTGAAAACCAACCAGTCTGTAAATTCAAAACAACCCGTTTTCACAAACCAGCACTGTGCTGTCCTCAGGTAGGTTTCTCGCTCTCAACTTTCTGCTTGGTCCGACTTCCCAATGATATGCGCAGAGTGATGAAGGATGGCTGTACAGTTTACTGGGAGAAGCTTCTGACTGCAGTCATGGGTACATGGACTATTGTGCTCCACATGTTGTAGGCTACCTGCACATTTGAACAATCTGTCAGTCATGGACCTCCAGTTGTTGTCTGGTCATTCAGCTTGCACACATCTAGACAGTGAGATGATGGCAAAAGTTAAAATGACTGAGGATTCTATTACCAAAAAGCAAACAAGACAAGTGTCACTGTGGTGTAGTCACACTACATAGGCTACTTTATTTCACCTTAACGAAAGAAGAAAGTGGTAATTTAAAGAACTCAAAAAAGGGAGAGAGATTTTGGTCTTAATTATCTTCTCCCTCATGTCGAAGAATATTTTTGCCTTTTTTTTTTTTTATCCCAATCCCAGTGGAAGTGAAACATTGTAAGTCTTGTCGGAACAATACATTCCGACATTGTTACCCAAACTTTTGGAAAGTAACAAACCTGTTTTGATGATTAGAATTTGCTGCTGGTTGTTTGAACAGGGTTTTAATTCAAATCTATCGTGAGAGAGAAAAAGAGAAAACACATGCATCGCGGAGTACAATTGGGCACATTGTTATTCTAGGGTTGCTACTTGAGTGTGAAAATAACACATTGCTCATACTCACATTGTGCGGATCATTCAGAAAATCACTTGCTTTATTTTGACATGTCTTTCTGCTGTGAAAAATGCGCGTGGGGTTTTGTGCACTTGTCATGCATTTGTGTTTATGTATGCGTGTGTGGCCAGATGAACATATCTGAACTCTTTCCAGAGACTTCCCATCTAAACACCCCTCTTATCCTTTCATTCTCTTTTTATCTAGTAGTTGTAGTTTTGGTTGTTTCTCAGGTAAACAGTCAGATATCAGGTCCTGCAGAAACACACACACACGAACACCCTACGAGAGAGTTTAATCCTTGCTGTTTCTCTTCCTCTCTATTCCTCTAATCAGTGTTGGCGCACTGCTCACTGTGGGACTTTGGGTCAACTGGAAGACTCACACAGATTCTGCCGCTCTATCATATTGACCACCTCTCTTTCCTCCTAAGGCATGAGCCTGTGGTGTTTTACTTTGTTCCGACCTGCGGTATGTCAGTCCTGCAGTGTGTACTGTGTTTCTATCAGGTCGGCATGAATTAAGTGCATCACACTCTGACGCATCTGTTATACTTGGCTAAATGAAACATTTCTCATTTAAAATCTGAGTGGGCTGTTCAAACAAACTCATCAAAAGTCAAATGGATAATGAAAAATGTATCCTAATGATGTAAAGCCACACAACTATAAGGCATAACTCCCATTAGAAGGGGATATTCAGTAGCTGCAGGGCTGGAAAAACACATACCAGTGTGTGATGCACACCGAAACAACCGCAACCATTATTTTCTTTATGCAAGCCACCTTGAAGATGATGCAGCAATTTAATTAATGTGCATCAAATGACGCAATGCTTCACGGCCAGCATGTGTTGCACTTAAGCCTTTTTTGCGGCTCCAAGTACAATCTGTTCTTTGGATGCGTGTGTGGCATCAAGCATCTTCGGGAGTCTTTTATCTCATCCCTAGTGATTGTGACCTGAACACAAAATACACTAAAACTACAGTAAAAGGAAATGTATCATGTTTTTCTTCAGTCTGGAACAAGTGAACCAAACTACAGCTGTGAAAGCAGCATCAAAATCATAATTGTCCACTGAGAGGATTCAGGATAGAGTTGTATGAATTCTTCAATCAAGTAGTTTTGTCTTTTGAGATTGCGTCTGCCTCCCTCATCTGCTGTCTTCATTTTATTTATCTCCTAAGACGAAATAGATTAAAACAACATTGAGAGGAAGTTATGTCGGTATCTGCTGTGTGATGTAACAAAGTACCAGGGAGGTTTTGTGGAAAGTAATATCCTGTGGAGAGGAAAAAGCAAACATGGATTTAAT